GTGTTCTTATGCATATGCCCTCTCTTCTTATCAGCTGGATGCTTCACTCTCCACTCTAGTCCTCTGTGGCTATGTCACTGACTCTGGGCCCAAGAGACCCCAGGTCTTGCCACAGTGCTGGCCACCCAGGTATCCAGCCGGGTTCACAGGAGTCTATTGACCTTTGTAGGGCTAAGCTCACAGCTTCATTGCTATTTTTCCCTGGCTTCCCTTTATCAGTGATGGGTATGGTCACTAATTAGAGTGCATGTCTGCTCATGCATTCCCATTGAGTCTTAGTCTTGGAAGGGGATTTTCCTTGAGGGGACCTGACCACTTGCCTTGATGTTTCCTGGGTGAGCAACTTGCTTATTCTTGTAGTTGTTGCTGTTGTTTTGTGCCATGGAGTCAGTTCCAACTTGTAGTGACCCTGTACAGGGTTTCTGAGGCTGTAAATCTTTATGGGAACAGAAAGCCTCATCTTTCTCCCACAGAACAACTGGTAGTTTCTAACTGCAGACTTTGCGGTTCACAGCCCAATTCGTAACCACTATGCTCCTTGTTCTTGTAGTAGTCAGTAGGAATTTCCCTAAATCTTTTATTGAATACCAGAAACACATTTTGAAGGGATTGAAGTTATGGCTGATAAAGCTTAATAGATAATTTTCACCATTTATAATTAAATTGTTCCTTAGATTCTTCCCAATCTATGGTTTCTCAGAATCTCTTTAAAGAAGCTGTACTCTCTAGCTTGACTGAGGCAACAAGTTGATTAACGTTTTCAAATTGTATTCAGTGATTATGCCATATCCAAATAGTTCCTAAAATAGTCTTTTTTTGGAATGGTAGCAGTAGTTGTAAGGAGCTCTGGTAGCGTAGTGGTTATGAATCGGGCTGCAAACCTCAAAATCAGCAGTTCGAAACTACCAGCTGTTCCGCGGGAGAAAAATGAGGCTTTCTGCTCCCGTAAAGATTTCCAGCCTCGGAAACCCTGTACAGGGTCGCTATGAGTCAGAACCGACTCCACGGCACTTAACAACAAGTCGTAGTTGTATGATGACAACTATGGTGGAGGCAACATTTAGGACTATAAAGATTGGAAAGCTATTATTTAACTGGAGAAGGAAAAATCGAGGTAGGCTTGTGCTTTATTCATGATTAAGGTATTGTGTATTGAACTAAATATACTAGAAAATACTACTGTAATGTTGGCATCCAGCATTGTAAATCACATTTCTTAGTTCCTAATTCTTTTTTCTAAGCTAAGAAGTTTTATGTGTTTCAAATTTTTAGACAATTTTGGAAGGTATTTATAGGTTTTAGTAGATTTATTTAGATATAAAAATGGGTTCTATTATAGAGGAATCACACCATTTTCATTGTGTTCTAAGAACATTGCCTCACTCTGTACCAGGTACTACATGAGGCACCAGGTATTTAAAAAAGATTAACACAACTATCCCTTTCATAAGGAAGTCATAGTCTTGGGGAAAAACAATCGTTATATAAAGCATGAAATGATTAGTTCTACAGCCCCACAGATACTAACAAGTTGACATGAAAGCACAAAAGACAATACCAAGGAGAATCATGGAAGACTACACAATGTAAGCAATTTTGGGGATAAGACTTATAAAAACAGAGGAGAGGGGGACTGATGTTGTAGGAAACAGAAGGAATAATTGCAGAAAATGAATAGCATATAAAAAGTTGCAAGTGCCTAGTAATTCCAAGTAGAGTACTATGGCTAGGGTAGAGAGTAAGAGTTGGGAGATGCAAGATATGACTCATAACTGTTTCTCTAAAGATCTAATAGTGCCTTTAATAACACAAGTCTGGAAAATAAAACATGCATATAGATATTTTTAATTATTAAAATAATTAAAATGAAAAAATATTTAAGTACACTTACAGACAAAATATGCACAACTATTGAAATGAAAATGAAAAATATTTAATTACACTTAAAGACAGAATGTTCACAACTATTAAGATTAGTTTTACTAAATCAGATTGGAAATAGGTTTCTATTGGTATTTTATACTAGATGATAGAGTAAAGAAATCAAGAACAATGATGATAAAAACTCTAATCTAGATCAAGATAGAGTATCTCCAATATTAACTTAGACTTCAGAAAATATTGAAATGAATATAGATACTGCTTGGGCAAATTGATTAAGCAGAGATGTTATCTATTTCTATCTATTTAGTAATATATACAAATTTAAAACTGGCAGGTCTGATAAAAGTAGGGTGGTTGGTTTTTTGTTTTGTTTTTTTTTTTTTTGCAGATTTTATTCTATTGTACTTGTATAATAATGTAAATAAACATATGTTACACATACCAAAAGACACTATACCTTTCCTAATACAGGCAAGTGAGATATTGGTTTTAGCATTTAAAATAATATACATGTCATTTACAATAATTGACAACGTTAGCAATATGAACTTTTATGTACAATCATTTATACTAAAGCATGCTAACTTTGGGGAGTATTTACAAATAGCCCTTTTTTATTTAATCTTTTAGCTCAAGACTTGCTTAAGTGGAAAAAACCTGTCGATCTAGAATTAAGAATGTGTATTCAGTCACTTGGCTCTGTAATAGTAATCTTCTGTACCATGGCAGGCAGATTTTCAGTCTCCAGCTCTTCCTTGCCATTATCTGAATTTTCTGATGAGATATAACAGCCAGAGTCTCTTGGGCAGTCATCTAACTGTGACTTATTTAAGATGTCTGGGCTTAAGGATAGGGACACAGCTTCATTTTCTTGCTCTTGAATAGCTGCAAATGGAAAACAGGGCAGGAATTAGACACATTTTATTTGTGTGCTAATTTATTTACAAGCACTATATACTATTTTAACTATTCCAATCTTGACATCATTACAATGGAAACATCTGCAAGTAAAAAAATAATAGATTTCTTTATTATAAGAGATATTTACACTTAAATATTAAACTGCTGCTTTATTAGAAGCCAGAGTTTTCCTTGACTTGCTCATTTGCAGTTTCATGACATTCATGTGAACTGCCTGCATAAGTGAAGATCAATATGGGCTCTCATGTTACATTAATAATAAGTTGCCAAAGAAAACAGATTGTATCCACAGTATGACTGATGCCTTGTCCAAATATTCCTTAAAGTATCATTAGAAAAATCATTTGTAGCTTAAATTTACAATCCAAGTCAATATAGTGAGCTTTGTGAACAATTCCAGAAAATGCGAATGTGGATTAATGAATAAAAGATCTCTATAGGCAACAATGTACCCAATTACCTGGGACCTACTTAATAAACCTGTAAGTATCCAGAATTTTCCACTGTTTGCATTGATTAGAAAAATAGGAATAAGAAACCAGGTTGACTTGAGAGAATAAAAAACCAAAATGTTCACTGACTCTGCCTTATAAATATGTAGTTTGTCTTCCCCATCTTTAACTGTAGGCCTAAATGTTGTTAAGCTTTATCCAGTCAGTTCTGACTCACAGTAACCCTGCATACGATTTCTGAGGTCTTAAATCTTCATGGGAACAGAAAGCCTCATCTTTCTCCCACAGAGCAGCTGGTAGGCTAGAATCGCACACAGACCTTGTGGTTTGTGGTACATTGCTTATCATGAAGCCACCAGACTCCCGTAGATCTGAAAAATAATCTACTGTGTTCAGATAGGTACTAAAGTGTCAACAAAGCAGTATGCTGGACTCCTGGTGTGGCACTGTAGGATCAGAACTGGACTATGACAAACAGCAGTTCAAACCCACCAGCTGCTCCTTGGAGACTCTATATAGGGTCACTATGAGTCAGAACTGATTCGATGGCACTTAACAACAGCAACAACAAAGCAGCAGTATGTTAGATTGAACAAGCACTAGGTTTTAGGGAAAACATTATTGGAGAAGAAACCAAAGGTATTTCCAAAGAACCTAAACTGCCATAAAGTTATGGTTTTACTCTTTTCAAGAATGCTTTAGCATCAGCTTTCTCTTATCTCTGTGCTGTCCCTTTCTATTCCTTTCCTGATACCAGTAGGTGGGAGTTTCTCTGTCTCTTGAGCTATATTCCTCAAAGCCATGAATCTCAGGTCACCACCTCTCAGTTATAATAGAACAGCTTCCCTTTTGCTTTGGGACATCTCCATTTTCTACATTCACATTGGAAGGTGATGGGGTGGGGCAAAATTTATTCCTTCCGAGCTAAGCACTTCATGCCATCCTAGTGAGAATAATGCAAATCCCAATTTGGAAGAAGGACATTGTAAAATTTCTTTTCTAAAGTTGTTATAGTACTAAGGAGTCCTGGTGGTGCTGTGGTCTAGGTGTTGGTCTGCCAACTGCATGGTCGGCTGTTCAAACCAACCAGCTGCTCCGAGGGAGAAAGATGAGACTGTCTGTTTCCGTAAAGATTTGCAGTCTTAGAAACCCTATATAGAGTCATTATAGTCAGAAGCTACTCAATGGTAGTGGACATAGTTAGAATCAACTAGATGGCAGTTGTTGTTATTGCTATGTGCTGTGGAGTCAGTTCTGACTCATAGCGACCCTGCTCAGGGTTTCTGAGGCTGTAAATCAGTGGCCACCCTTTATGTTGCCTACATGTATTTGCCTTTTTAAATGCATTCTCTAGGCCCCAGATATCTTGCCAGCTTTAGTTTATGGCTACTACGTATCTAATTATTCTCAGCCTACATTAAAGAGAGCATTAAGACCTGGTGCCCTAAAGCAGTTTTGAATTTAATTAGAATTGTACTTGCTATGTAGCAGCCATGGGAGAGTTGAGAAAACAGTAACACAAATCATTTTCTGTGTTCTATTATTTAGCTAAGGAACACTGATTGAGAAAGGATGCAAGAAACTGACCAAAAAAAATGTTTTCTTTATCTACTCATGTTCAGAATGAATGATAATAGTTTTTTTTTTAACCTTTCCTCAAGGTTGTTATTTACCACAATGGAATCATACTCATGCCATTTTTCTGAATTTTCTCTGCCTTTGTTATAACTTTATTTAACTGTGAATTCTAGTATCAGGTTTAACTAGTACTGATACTAGAATGTACAGCTAAAGTTGTAACAAAACAGTAACAGATCTATAACTAATACTAGGCATAACCAGTAATCAGTTGACCTTGAGTTGAGTCCGACAAATTGTGACCCCATGTGTGTCAGTGTGGAACTATGCTTCATAGGGTTTTAATTGGCTGATTTTTCAGAAATACACCACTAGGACTTTCTTTAGAAGCATTTATGGGTGGACTAGAATCTCCAACCTTTTGGTTAGCATCTAAGCAAATTAGCAGTTAGCAGCCCCAGAGTCCAGTTGTTGCTGTTAAATGCTATTGAGTAATTTCTGATCATGTTATTGTTCTTAAGCCCTTAAGTCGGTTTTGACTCATAGCAACTCCATATAGGGTTTCCAAGGAGCAGCTGGTGAATTTGAACCACCGACCTTGCTGTTCAAACTGACTTTGCAATCTAGTGCTTATTGTACAGAACCATACCAGGACTCCAGTACTAGATTTGTTGTTGTTGTTAAGTGCCATCGAGTTGACTCTAACTCATAGCAACCCTGCATAGAGTTTCGGAGGAGCATCTGGTGAGATTGAACCACCAACCTTGAGGTTCAAACCAACTATGCAGTCTAGTACATTAACCCACAGCGCCACACCAGGACTCCAGTACTAGGTATAATGAGCTTTAATTTTCATATACAACTATCATGACAGTTATTTTCAAATTTTATCTACTATGAAGCATCTTATGTTTATCAGTCATAACTATTTTTAGGTTTTGAGGGTTTTACTTAGCAGTAATTCACTTTATTTTTTTAAATAGTATTTTACAGTGTTTAAGGTGAACCTTTGTACAGAAAATTGTTGTTGTTGTTGTTACGTGCCATCAAGTTGGTACCAACTCATAGCAACCCTATGTACAACAGAACAAAACACTGTCCAGTCCTGGGCCAACCACAGAATTGTTGCCATGCTTGAGCCCACTGATGCTGCCACTTGGCCAATCCATATCGCTGGGGGTCTTCCTTTTTTTCTCTGACCCTCTACCTTACCAAACATGATATCCTTCTCCAACAATTGGTCCCTACTGATAATATGTCCGAAGTATGAGAGACAAAATTTGGCTATCCTGGCCTCCAAGGAGCATTCTGACTGCACTTCTTCCAACACAGATCTGTTGGTTCTTTTAGCAGCCCATGGCACTTTCAATATTCTCCTCCAACACCATAATTCAAAAGCATCAATTCTTCTACGGTCTTCCTTATTTACTGTCCAACTTTCATATGCATATGAGGTTATTTAAACACCATGGCTTGGGTCAGGTGCACCTTAGTCCTCAAGCTGACATCTTTGTTCTTCAATACTTTAAAAAGATCTTGTGCAGCAGATTTGCCTAATGCAATTATGTCGTTTGATTTCTTGACTGTTGCTTCCATGAGTGTTAATAGTTGATCGAAGAAGAATGAAGTCCTTGACAACTTCAATCTTTTCTCCATTAATAAGAATGTTGTTTATTGGTCCAGTGACGAGGATTTTTGGTTGTTTTTTTTTGCATTGAGGTGCAATCCATACTAAAGATTGTGGTCTTTGATCTTTATCAATAAATATTTCAAGTCCTCTTCACTTCCAGCAATAATAGTTGTATCATCTGTATATCTCAGGTTGTTAATGACTCCTCCAACCAGATGCAATTTTCTTCTTCATATAATCCAGCTTCTTGGATTATTTGCTCAGCATACAGGTTGAATAAGTATGGCAAAAGAACACAACCTTGTCACACACCTTTTTAAATTTTAAACCATTCAGTGTTCCCATGTTCTCATTGAACAACTGCCTCTTGGTCCATGTACAGATTCCTATGAGCACAATTAAATGTTCAGGAATGCTCATATTTCACAATGTTGTCTATAACTTGTCATGATCCACATAATTGAAAGCCTTTGCCTAGTCAATAAACACAGGTAAACATCTTTCTGGTAATCTCTGCTTTCAGCCAAGATCCAGCAGACATCAGCAATGATATCCCTCGTTCCACGGCCTCTTCTGAATCTGGCTTGAACCTCTGGAAGTTCTCTGTCAATATATGCTTGCAGCCATTTCTGTGTTACTTTTATTAAAACTTAACTCGCATGTGATACCAAAGAGATTGTCCAATGATTTCCACTCAGCAAATTAGGTTCCCCTTAAACAATTTTATTTGTTTTTAATTGTTCTATGCCATTGGTTACAATTTTTACAGTGTGTCAGCATTCCCATTATTTGCAATGTGTTTATTCTGTCTTCATTTATCTAGTTTCCCTTCTCCTCCTTGTCTTTTCATCTTTCCTTTGGGTAAATGTTGACTGTTGGGTCTCATACACATACTCCTCACTTATCAACTATTTCATTATTCAGAATGTCACATTTTCAACAATAGTAAAAAATCTACTATCCAACTATTTCGCAAATTTATGGTGTTTGGTAGAGGAACACTGAAGTGTTAGGCCAAAGTCACACTGCTTGTGGTGGTTTGTGTTAATTTGGCTGCATCATGTAATGATGAAATTATCCTCCATTTTGTCATCTGATGTGGATATCCTCCATGTCTGCCTATTGTCACATAAAGACCTGGGCTTTAGAATCTAACCATGTCAGTAAGTTAAGAGTGGGTGAAGTCAATTGTTTAAGGGACCATATCCTGATATTGTTTGTTTTATAAGCCAATTTATTATGTGGCTGAAAGGTGTCATACAGAAATACCTTTACTTCCAAATTCTAAGGATATCTTACAATGA